TACTCTCCACTATCAGCTCAGCGTCCCCTGCAGATGCACATCCACAGTCTCAAGATCTCAAGATCCTTCTCCATGTGTGTGTGTGTGTGTGTGTGTGTGTGTGTGTGTTGTGTTGCATGTTAGAAGGATAGGGGGTGACTCAGCTGTCCATGAGAATTAAAATTGAAAGGTGTCTGTGCTTCCCAGGAGCCTTTCTATGCTCTCAAGAAAAGTTAGTCTGAGTATCTGTTTACATTCATATGAAAAGTAAAACGAAGAATTAAGATGAAATTTAAGTATCCTTGAGCCCCTAGAAAGCATAGTTGCTTCAATTATTTGAATATATCTGGAAAATACTTTATAGTATAAATTTTATGGTCAATTACCTCTATTTTATGCAATGATAGTATTTGAAACTAGAAGGTTTGCAACCTCTTGGACCTGATTTTCAGCTTTGTTCAGCAGAAACTCCTTATTCTTTTTTATTTTCTTTTAGCAAATTTATCTTCCAATGGAAAGAGTTTCAATATCAGATGCTGGGTATAGTTTAATTTATAAAAAAAAATTTGTTCACTTGCCTCAAGATACAGCATATTAATGGAAACAGGTTTTTATCTTTCTGTTAGAAATACTTTTTTTAGCCCTTCAATTGGATTTGAATATTTTTTAATTTTAAATTGAATTAAATTTATTGTTTGAAGTATATAAATATATTTTATCTTGAAAGAACTGTCCTTTCCCAACAATTATCCAAATACCCTTACAAACACCCCCCTCAAGAAAAACAGCTTATTGATTATTAACAGAAAACAGAGGTATAGCTTTTAACTTTTAGAATATAGCAATAATATTGACTACTGTATAAAATCTTTAATTTGAAAAGAGTCTCTAACAAAGGGAAGAAAAAGATATTCAGTAAAGTTTATCAGAAGCAATACAAATATAAACATTCTATTTTAAAAGAGGTACTCTGGTATAGCTTAGTTAGGATACAAACTTACATATATAATGAGAGTAGGGATAGTTAGTCTCTATAAGCATGCATAGAGTACCACCGATATAAGTCCCCACTTGGAAGACAATGGGGAATCTGCTTCCTAGAGAACTATGATAACATAAAATGGAATTGGAGACTTTGAAGCATCATGTATGGACATTCGTTAACTGGTTCCTGTTTGCTAACTATGTGGTAGATAGCAGCCTTTTTTTTTTTGACAGCAGCTTTTTTGATTGGCTTCAGTGATGGGACCAGAATTGGATGTGGGGAAGCATTCAAAAAGACCCTTTTTAACCTAGTCCTTTTTTCTTGATTGGACTTCTCTTTGTATGATTCTATCCTAGTTAACAGCTTCTGGTGAGATACAGTGCTATAAAGTCTTCTCCAAGGGTATATTGGTAAATATTTAATAGCTGATTCTCAAAAAAAATGTAGGCAAGACACGCTTTTTAGTTTAATATACATAATTAACATTTTCTCCTTCACTTTCTTAAGCTTAGAAATCAATGAAATAATAAATCAAAGTCTGATTTGTAGTGTTAACTTATTTCTAAGCTATAAATGCTCACACTGAGAATTTAACTCAAGACAGGTGGACTTGATCCCAGCAAACTACTGGCCTTCTCTCTCCAAAACTAAACCAACGAAGTTTCTTGAATATGGGTTTCAAATCTTTACCTGCCTCTGTGTTTGATCTTTCATTTTAGGTGAAGGGATTGGATATCTCTGACCTTTCAGAACTCACAAGGTCATAGCTTGAATTCCTTCACCTAAAATAATAGAATAAATTCTGAGGCAAAGAACCAAGGCCTATATTCACAGGGCCACATCTTGGTCATAGAGGGAGAGGGACAAAAGCCTTTCTCCTTACAGAATTGTATCTTACTGGACACTGTTAGGAAAGGAATCACACCAAGAGATAGGAAGGGCTAGGTCAAATAGGGCTTTTTAAAAAAATGCTTCTCACCTCAGTTCCTGTTCCTGTCATCCAGCCAATCAAAGATGATGCTATCCACCATGTCATTAACTAACTGGAACCAGTTACAAAATGTCTCCACATTCTTGAAATTCTATACAAGGCCCTTCCATTTCGTGTCATCCTGACTCTCTTGGAATCAGGCTGCCTAGTCTCTGCCATATGGGAAATTGGGTCATTGACACTCTGTGTTTGTTCATGCGGACTAGACAATACCCTGTGAAAAGTAGATTCAGTATTTTTTAAGTGCTTACTATGTGTCAGGCATTGTGCTAAGTGCTAAAGATACAAATTGCAAGACAGTCCCTGCCTTCAAGGAACTCACATTCTGATGGGATAAGACAAAATGTAAAGAAGAGTTAGAAGGGCAAGAAGAAGTCCTAAGAGTGAATCCAGGGCTCCAGAGGAAAGAAGATGAAAATAATGGCCATAGTGCTTATGGAAGACTAGGTCCAGGTAAGATAAGGCAGAAGCTCACCTATCAGAGGTGGAATCCAAAGTTCTGATATGGGGGAGGTGAGGACTATTGCCATAGTATGGGCAGCATGCTGTGGAGATGGCCAGGTAGTGACTTAGTTCATTTGCTGCCAATGTCACTTCATTGTAGTGTTGCCATTGCTAAAGCATTTAAGCTCCCTGAGCTTCAGTTCCTTCATCTGTAAAATGGAAATACTAGTACCTAATTCACAGGATTGTTGTTAGGATCAAAAAGATTATACATGTAAAGCATTTTGCAAACTTAAGACTATAAATATTTACTACTTTTTTTAAATTTTGATTTTCTTTGTTTATATAATAAAGTTGGATTTCAATCAGTTGAAGACATTTCAAAGAGTGAAAGACATATTAAGCATTTTCTGACTTTGCATCTTTCCTTCTAATCAAATATTCCATCTAATTCTTTTTTTTTTCACAGAAAGTCACTCAATAACATTTATTAAGCACTTATTATGTGCCAGACATTGTACTAAACTCTGGTAATACAAAGAAAAACAAAAGACAATCCATATTCTCAAAAAGCTCGTAGTCAAATGGGGCAGAGAACAATTAGAAAACTTAGTACAAACAAGACATATATATATATACACATACATATATGTATGTGTATGTATGTATGTGTGTATGTATATGATAAATTGAAAATAATCAACAGAAGGAAGGCACTAGAATTAGGAAAAGGCTTTTGGTAGAAGGTGGGATTTTAGCTGGGACTTGAAAGATGCCAGGAAAATTAGGAGGGGAGTATGAAGATGGAGAGCATTTCAAGCATGGGAAGAAGTCGGTGAAAATGGCCAGAGTTGGGAGATGGAGTATCCTGTTCAAGGAATAGTAAGGAGCCCAGTGTCACTGGATCACAGAGCTGAGGGGTAAGGTATAAGAATACTAGAAAGGTTGGTGAGGGGGCTAGGTTATGAATGGCTTTGAATGCCAAACCAAGGATTTTATATCTGATCCTAGAAGTGATAAGGAGCCACTAGAGTTTATTGAGTTGGGGGTGGTAGAGTCAGTGACATTGTCAGACTTGAACTTTGAAGAGATCACTCTCACAAGTCATGAGATTTTCAACTGACCCCTAGTTGAGTTGTAAATTGTATATTTTATCTTGTGGTTTTTTTGTTGTTGTTAATTTTTACTGTCCAAAATTTGTAACTATTTTTGACAATGGCTTTTTATAGGATACACATGCTTATACTTGTATGTTTCCTCTGTTTCCAAAATTTTCCACTTGTTCCTGGTTTACTTCAGTTTTTTTTCCCCTTAATAAAAAAATGTAGTAAACCAAGAAAATTGGTGGGGAAAAATGGCTTTGTACAGAAATCCTCCATCTTAACCTTCATTTCTTGATACAATGGGATTCAGCCTAAATGTATTTGATGGACTTGAGCCTTTAGAAGCTCGTTTCCCATCATAGTGAGGAGACTTTATTCTTTTTAGACCAAGGTGGAAGCAAATATTGACATCTTTCTATATGGTAATGAAAAGCACTCTTTTTAGTAAATTTATTTCTAATCATATGGATGGAATCAAAAAACGAGGCAGAAACAAAGACTTGAAATTTAAAGTTCAAATGACTCTGAGTGAGGATCCTCAGATGACATTCACTATAAATGCCACACTTGAACCATATTCTATTAATTTCTGATCATGTCTTCCAAATAATCCTACACACAAAGTTATGTTACCATGTCTCTTTCATTACTCTGTGTCATATGTAACCTTTTCCTGTTACTACGGCGGTATGGACAGTTAGATATGGAATATGGCATTTCATCTGTCCTATTCCTAGTGTGTGAACTCTAAGGCTACTATTTATAAGATTTCAGGAGAGATATAGATAATTTGGACAAACAATATTTTTGTTCTGTTTAACTTAACTATATACTCAGACACTTGAGCATAAAAGGAATTACTTTTGTCCCATCTTATCCAAATAATTTAAAGCAATGCCAAAGAACTTTTAGATCAGGGATAATTTCTGAGGAATACCTCTCAAGATGATGATTCACTGAGACAACTTCCTGGGTCTAATCTTAAAATCAATTTGGTATTAACTTAATGTTAGTTCTGTCCAGAGTATTTTCCATTTATTGTCAAGTATATCAGATGGGATAAAAAATGGATTACTAAAGCCTAGCTCAATTATATCCATCAGTTTTTCCTGGCCTACCAGGAAAAAAACCAGGCCCACCATTCTGCTACATGTAGAAATTTGATTATGTTGGCAGGAGGATATGCTCTTTGCAAAACTAACCATGCTTAATTAATTCCTAATAATCTGTTTTCTTAGTTAAATTTGCCAAAAGTTAATTTTTTATATTCTTTCTCTAATCCACCTTTTCATTTGTTTATCATTTGTCATTTACCACGTTACGTTCATGTTTGAACAGCAGGTCTTATCCCCAAATGATGGCTAAACTGAAAAATAACAATAATAACTAAAATAAGTCAATATGTTCTACTGGTATAAATTTTGGTTCCTGAAATATTTCAAATTTTAATCTCATCATATAGATTTTAAAGACATGTTTATATAATTTCTCTATCCAGTATTTAAATTCAGGAGCAGGAGCCCTTGCTGGTGCCTTCATTCATGAAAAGCATGCACATACTATGAAACCTGCGTAAGTATCTTTATTGACATAAAAATTTAAATTAATTTCCTCAAAATTATTCTATGGAAGTAGAAAAAACATTTATTCAGAAATTTGTGAAATTTAAGTTGAGGATGTTATCCAATGAGAATTTGAGTAAATTATAATTATTTTAAATGTTCCATTACCAATCATAGATTATCTCTCTAGAGTATAGTTGGTTGAATAAGAAATTTAATTATAAAAGGAGATACCATTAATAATTTTTTTAAGTTACTACACTAAGGCAAAAAGATAGTTTAATGTAAAAAGAATACTTTTTAAAACTATACTTTTAAAAATTTCAGCTGTCTCACATTCACGCACAAATCAAAGGAAACCTCAGTGCTGTATCTAATAGCTTCTTAAATGTGGCATGTTTTTATTAAAATTATACCTACTTTTAAAGCTGGAGATATGTGAAGATCCACTATAGGAATATTGCCTGTTCGCGGATACTTTATAATCCATGAAAAACTGGAGTAGCTGAATGACAGATTGACTGTGAAAAAATGTAATACTTTTCTGTTTTATATCACCATTCTCATTTTTCAGGGACACCAGGAATGTGAATTTAATATCACAAAAAATGTACACCTTTTCTTGTTGTCTGGAGAACTTACGGTTACTTCCTTTTATTTTTATGTGGCACCAAAACTAAATCATATGCTGGAAAGAGGGGAAAAATACAGCACTTATGTTAGAGTATATGTGATGACGAGACTGTCTAGACTCTTAATAGATAATATAATAATGTTTGATTAGTTCTCTGAAGCTTCTCAGCCCTTGGCAAAGTGGTCTAATCTTTACAAGAATTACAGTCCTTTTTGATTTAAATCAGTAATGTAGTTAAGAGAATGTCAGAGTATCTGCAGTTTGGTGCAAGTAAATTCTCCAAATTTAAGATCATGTTCTGAAATTCTTTTGAACTTTCCTATACTTTTTAGGAGTTGTTAGTTTTGGCAATAGTTTTAATTATTCAGATACTTTGAAAGGTGACAATTTTGTGATCTCTACAAAGATGGACATTTTCCCCATCCCCCAAGCTCTTTGAGATAACCAAAGGGAAATATGTTCCATATTAAAATATATTTTGTCTTTTTAAAATAAAAACATAACCTGTCATTCATTCAGTAAAACTTGCTTCTTACATTTTCTAACAGAATAATTTTGTCATATAGCAAATGTTCTCAAACATAGTTTCTTATCTTCCCCTTAACCACAATTTTTTACTCTCCATACTATGTTTTTCATTATATTTACTTACTTCACTGGTTTTTATTGATCTGGATATTCCCTCGACTGGCAGAGATCTCAATTGCTTTGTAACTTAGTAGAAGGTCTTTGAGACATGGCATGGCTTACAAATTCATCATCCTGCAGTCAGCTAGGTGTTGAGATTTTTTAAATTTAACTAGGCAGGTCCTCAGGCCTCAGGCAAATAGTCAATTAATGAGCCCATACTCAAAGGCCTTCTAGTTTGGTAGGATCTGCCAGAACTTGCATTCATCCTGCATGGCTTTCTAGAACCCTTGCTTATCTCTGTGCCAAGATAGGTCTTTAATTAAGACCTAATGAAATAGGTCTTTGATGAAGGTTCATTGTATTCTATGATCCCCAAAGATAGGTCTTTATTATCTAAGATAATTAAAACAGTATTGTAAATACATAGTAATGTAGCTATTAGGTATTGACTACAGAACAGAATTCTTTTAAGAAAAATGTTGCTGGATGGCCCCAAAATGCCCTGGCTTGCACGCTGAAAATAGCACTTTTCATTTTAAGGGTCTCCAAAGCATTGCCTGAGTTGTAATTTACACAAGAGAGAAAACATATGTGTTTAATGGGGGAAAAATCTAGTGGTTTCAGTTATTGCTAATTTTATAATTTAATACTTACCTATGTCTCAATTTTTTCTGATATAAAAAGTGGTAAATAATACTTTACCTATGTAATTCACAAGATTGTTATTTGCATAAAATGGAAATGATGTAGTGAATATGCTTTGAAAAAAATTAGAAGTTCTTTGCAGATGTAAAGAATAGAATTTTCCCCCCTCAGGCTGAACAGCTGGGGAAGAGCTGTATTCTCAGGCTGGGATCTTCTCTCTAGGCACTAATGCCCATAGCCTCCTGGCTCTCTCTGAGAACACAGGTTAGCAAAATGCTCTTACTATAGTTTCTCCTTGGATTTCTTGATCATTTTCTTCTTGAATATTCTTTTTTATTATATTTTTTAAAAACCCTTGATGGAGTAGTTGTGAGGAAGCAAAGTTATTCTGAATCTGCTTTTTTTGTCATCTTGAAGAGAATCTGTGCATAATAGGCATTTAATTTTGAATAGAACCTATAAAATAAGGATAATGCTTCTTCTACTACCTATCTAAACAGGTTATTGTGACTTCAAAGAGCTATTTTAATGAGTTATTATAATAATATATTTCCTAAATGTATGCCTGGGCTTAGAGGCCTAGAAATGTTTACATTAGCATCATCATCATATACATCAACAACACAATACCACATTAAGTATCTCATCCATCTTAACAGTGGTATAGCTTAGATAATGGAAGCTTCGTGCTTTTGATTTCTATTCCAAACTAATTAGTAGAGATGAGAATAAGGAGGAGGAATCTAGCTCAGGGGTGGGGAACCTGTGGCTTTTTGACTGAGTCCAAGTTCTACAGAACAAATTCTTTTATTAAGGGGATTTGTTCTGTGAAGTTTGGATTTAATCGAAGGACTTCACCCGAGGGCCTAGAGGGCCACATGCGGCCTTGTGGCCACAGATTCCCCACCTTTGATTCTTTACTTTATAAAATGGACAGAACAAGATAAAATATGCAACATGAGGCCTGATAATATTGTGTCCTATGTTCTAAACCATAGACAAAAAATTACTCCTATCTAAAAATTATGGAAATGTCATTATTGTGATACATAAGCACATCTCTAAAGTGAGCACTCTTGGCCAAAACTGGTGGCCTTGGTATTTGAAAACAGAAAGACAGGCAAATGAACCATCTAGAGAACTATCTTTCCTGATAAAACTAATCATATAGAGTTATCGAGTTCGAATTCAACACATATTACCTAACTGGCTGGTCAATGAAACTAGTTGTGCTAGATGCTGAGGATATAAAAATGACAAATTATATGCTCCCTGCCCTCAAGAAAATTATAGTATAGTAGGGAGATGAGACAAAATTTATACAAATAATAATAATAAAAGTCACAAAATGATTAAGTGCATATGAGGGGTCAAACATAGCCTGGAAGGTTCAAAGGAAGAACAATTGCTTCCAACTGGGGGAATCAGGGGAGCCTTCACTGAGTGGATACACTTCAGCTAGATTATGAAAATAAAATAAGGCTATAAAGGCCACCTTATTTATTAAATTATTATATGAAATTGCCATATGACTGTTCTCTCTACTTCGTCTCTCCCCATTCCAATCCATCCTCCATTTATCCACTCAGCTGCCTTCTGAAACTTAGATCCAATCATGTCAAACCCTATCCCTCCCCACAATGAGATCGAGTAACTCTCTGTTTCCTCTACAATCCAATATATAAAGTCCTCTGCTTGGCATTTAAAGCCCTTCATAATGTGGCCCCTTCCTACCTTTTCAATCTTCTCTCACTTTATTCCCTTCTACACACTCTATAAATAATCTAGCTACACTGGTCTACTCATAGTTCTCGAACCCAACCCTCCATCTCTCATTGCTGTAATTTTGTGCTGGTTGTCTTTCTACCCTTGGAATGTGGTACCCTCTCCTCTCCACCATTGGTTTCCTTGGCTTCCTTTAAGACTCAGCTAAAGGAGGGGGAGCTTGGTGGCACAGTGGATAAAGCACTGGCCCTGGAGTCAGGAGGACCTGAGTTCAAATCCAGCCTCAGACACTTGACATGAACTGTGTGACCCTGGGTAAGTCACATAAAACCATTGCCTAGCCAAAAAAAAAAAAAAAGGCCCACCTTCCGCAAGAGGCTTGTCCCAATCCCTTAAGGTGCTTTTCTTAAAGAAGAGAGTTTAATGCTATAATCAAACTAAAAATAAATCTAAGTAATCAAAAAGAGCTGATTTCTTTTTCAACAGCCTGAATGTTGTCCTTGCAGCCACAAAATAGCAAAAGGTCTAGAAGATTTCTAATATGATGGATAGATTCTCTATGGAGAATTTATGGGAGGGGATGAACAAAATTTTCACAGGAAGAAAAGACATGGGTTAGATATGATCTGCACTAGTTGAGAGAACATTTACATGAATAAAATCATGGATTCTTTGAAAGCAAAAATTAAAGACAATGGGGAGATACTGAAGAACATGGAGCATGGCAGTCACATATTTTAAGTGCTTATTGTGAGCCAGACATTCTACTAAGCTCTGGAGATACAAAAGAAGCAAAAGATAGTCTCTGACCTTATATTTTAGGAAGGTTACTTTGGCAGTGTTAGCAAGGATAAACTGAAGAAGGGAGAAGGAGATAAGAGTCAAATAATATTCAGGAGGGAGGTAATGAGAAAACCTATCAAGGGTGATCTGTCATGCAAATGGAAAGGAGGGATAGAAAGTAGATTTTTTTTGTGCATGAACTATTAGGAAATTTGGCAATTGGGAGAGATGGTATATATAAGAATTACTCCAGGTTGTCAAGTCTTGGTGGCAAAGGCTTATCTTCTGTTGATATTACAATATAACAGAAATGTGATATTTAAGAAAGACAGGTTTTAAAATGAAGAGTTGTTTGAAACATGAGTTTTAGGTGTGAGGACATAATGTGTCAGTTTACAGCTGGTATTTTGAAATGTGGGATCTCTCAGAGAAAAGACTATCTAGATTAGAGGCATGGATTTGGGACTGACATGCATAGAAGTGAAAATCAAAACCATATAAATATGTATTACTGACAAAGAAAAGATTGTAGCAGTGAAGCCAGCCAAGGATAGAGGTTGGATGAGGAAGGGGAACCAGTGAAGAAAGTAAGA